TGTTCGAGGATCAGCTGGTGGTCCCTATGACGACCAACGCTGCAGGTCAGTATGTCATCAATGTGCTGGACCACCAACTGGAGAAGCCGTCTGTTCCCTTTGCCGAGGTCATGATGTCAGTCAAAGATGATCATGAGGTGGAGCCCACTGTTGAGGTTGTGCCACCAGCAGAAGCCATCGCTGTGCCTTCTGATGCTCAGACCTCACCGGAGGTGCCAGAAATTCCAGGAGAGCCTTGTGAACTGCAAGTGTGGCACCGTTATGACTCATTTATGTCCCAGGTTCCCAATACCGGTAAACAAGGTCCCCTGTGGCAAACCGTTCGGCGTCGCCGAGTGCTGGACCAAGATACAGGCGCAGTGTTGTTTGATGATATCATATCCCCTAGAATCGGCAAACAGCAATATCAACGGACCATTCCTGCCCATGTAATGCATATTGTCCCGCAGGAGATCTCTCGTTCGCCCCATCGAAGCCATGCCTGTGCATTTTGTGAGACAACTTGCTTAGCAGATCCGTAAGCCCGAGGCGAAGTCATCCAAATGTGATGGAAAGCCGTTCCTTGTGGCCGAAGTGTTTTGTCCTCCTAGGTTCTCACCACTTGTTGAAGGAGTCGGGGGCAGTTGCAGGTCCTATGATATCAAAACAGGGTATGATTTCACTCAGGCGGCTACCCGGGATGCAGTTGCGAAGGAACTGCGTGCATGCCCGCCTGACCTGTTGATTGTGTGTCCACCGTGCACAGACGAAGGTGGTTGGTTTAATCTCAACTCAATATACCTGAGCCCGCAGGAGTATGCACGCAGGGTACAGCAGAGCCGCATGTTCATCAGGTTTTGCTGCCGGTTGTATCAGCAACAAGTTGACGCCGGTCGCAGAGCTCTGTTCGAGCATCCCAAGTCGTCTCGTTTGTGGACCTACCCAGAGGTACGTGCTTTGATGGAGCAGCATCATGTGATCACTTGTGACATGTGCCGTTTTGGACTTCGTGTTCCCCGTTGTAAAAAGCTCATTCGCAAGTCCACTCAGTTGATGGTTACCCATGAAGAGATGAAGACTCTAGCAAAGCGATGCCCAGGCTCACAGCATGTCAAACATCAGTGCCAACAAGTTGTGGCGGGTTCTGACCCAGTGGTAGGCTCCATCAGCACTTTTGCCGGGAAATACACTCCCCAATTTGTGGAGGCAGTTATGGACACTTTGCCCAGCTATGTCGCGCTCAAGAATCAGTGCCTTGCAGTGTGCCATGACTGGACGTGTCGTCAGGAGCATGAAGTGCTGGCAGCCAAACCTGAGTTGTCAGATAGTAAGACTGATGAAGAACTCATGAAGGTAATTGACAAGGTGCATAGGAACCTAGGACAATTGCCGGGTAGTGACTTGATCCGAATTCTCAAGCATGCTCATGCTGCTGACCGTGCCATTCAGCTAGCGCGCAAGCATGAGTGCGAGTTTTGCAAGTCACAGATCAGACCTCACGTGCCCTTGCCAGCCAAATCTTCAAGACCGCAAGAGTTTAATCAAGCTGTGGGTATCGATGTCAAGAATCTTCAGGGATGGTTGCCCAATCAGAAGGTCAAGGCTGTCAACATTGTGGACCAAGCAAGCTGTTATCAACTGATGATTCCTTTCCATTGTCGGGAAACGTCAGCGATTCGTCAGGCATTTGCTGATCATTGGGTTCGCATTTTCGGCCCTCCCAAAGAGGTCATCCTTGATCAAGCTCAGACCAATATGGGCGAGGAGTTTCAGCAGTATTTGGAATCCCTGGGTTGCCATGTTCATCCCGTTGCTGCTGAAGCGCACTGGCAACTGGGTCGTACCGAAAGTCATGGCGGTTGGTTCTCGCAAGTGCTCGATCGGACTGTGGCTGAGGCTCTGCCCAAAACCAAGGAAGCTTGGGAGGAATGTGTCACACATGCCCATGTTCCAAACTCAATGATTCAGTCATACGGGTACACTCCTCACCAATACGTGTTTGGAAAGAACCCTCAGGTCCCCACTGATCTCATGAATGAGCCTCTTCACGTGGTACCTGCAAGCAACCCTGGGGCTGTCCGATGAAGCAATTCAAAAATCCCAACGAGCGCGAGCTGCAGCCAGACATGCAGTCATCACCACCCAGGATGACCAAGCGCTGCGACGTGCATTTTCCGCACGTCCAAGACTCATCCAGCAGTTCCATCCAGGTGACCTTGTGGCCTATTGGCGTAATCAGAAGGTTCAACAAGGTAAGCTGGTTCAGGGTGGCCGTTGGTATGGTACCGCAGTCGTCATTGGTAATGTTGGGAAAAATTACGTGGTGGCCCACAGGAGGCAAATTTTCCGTGTTGCACCCGAACAACTTCGTTCAGCCACTTCCAAGGAAAATCCCTGGTCACAACCCCACAGGCCGAGTTACTTGGTGTTCGAGATCTGTTGGAGGGTGGTACGTTCCGCAGTCACCTATACATAGACTTGGTCGAGTCATTATCCACCTGTGGCCTCGGACTCAGACCGGCACAGTGAGGATGATCCTGCGCCTGCCCCGGTAGTCCCGGAAGCCGGCCCTTGTCCACTGCCGCCGGTGGCCAGTCCGCCAGACGGCCAGGGGAACATTGAGGCAGTTCCCCCGGAGTCGGAGGATGCTGTTCCTCAGCCCTCATTTGGCTCTTGTGAAGGGCCTGTGTTACACAGCAATGTAGCCGTGCCCAATCAGGATGCGGCCCCAAGCTATGGACCTATTCGTCGGAGGATTGTAACTAAGACCGGACCTGATGCCTTCCGCACTGCGTGAACAGGACTTTGTCGACATGATGCGTGAAGTTGTTCCCCAATTGCTTCAGGAAGTCACTGCTGATAGCACCATGAGCAGCCCTAACAAGAGAGCTCCGGAGTTCCGAGCTGCCTCAGAGGAACCGCCTAGCTCCCGTGCTACTATCTTCAGAAGAAGACCAGCAAAGAGCTGCCACCTTCCGGAAATGCGCCAGAGTTGCAATCTCTTGTGGATGAATCCAATCGTGTTGGGTGGCATACCCTTGCCGATAAGAAAGCAATTCGTGTTCACCATGGTCACAGAGCAAAGCAGCTTCAGCTGAAATACCCTGACCGGTTCATGGGAAGTAGGTTTGTGATCACCAGGAAGGCCATGGAAGAAAATACGGCCATTCAGGAAGATGATCCGAACACCTTCCGTGTCAAGAGTCGCTGGTGTTTGCAAGGGCACTTGGACCCGGACCTAGACAAGAACGTCGAAGCTGGCATGCTCCAGTTGCCCACACTCAGCCAAATGGGCCGCATGCTGGTCATGCAGTTGATGGCGTCGCATGGATGGGAACTCCAGTTGGGAGACATCAAGGGTGCATTCTTGGAAGCTGGTCCATTACCGGCCAAGTTCACACCCCTGTTTGCCAAGCAGCCCGCGGGTGGTATCCCTGGAATCCCCCGCGATGCGGTGATTGAAGTCTTAGGAAATGTCTACGGGCAAAATGATGCCCCGCTCGCTTGGCATCGCACCTTTCGCACCTTTTGACTCCGAGGCATGCAAGATTGGTTGGGAGCGTTCCAAATTCAACAGTTGTTTGTATTTCCTTCGTGATGACCAAGGTCTTTGTGGTGTCATGGGAGTACATGTTGATGATACTGCTCTAGGGGGTCGGGGAGACAAGTTTGAAGCAGCTGTGAAGGCCTTGCGAGCCCGGTTCCCGTATCGCAAGTGGCGTCTAGGGGAGGGCGAGTTCTGTGGCTCATACTATGTTCAGAATTCCAATAAGAACATCTCCATGAGCCAGACCTTGTTTGCGCAGAAGTTGAGGCCAGCCACCATCTCTAAGGGAGCATCCTCCGAAGATCGCCTTTCGGATAGCCAAGTGCGTGTCCTTCGTGCAATCAACGGCTCTCTCAATTGGTTGTCATCACAGTCGAGGCCTGATTTAGCAGCGCAGACCAGTATATCACAGCAGTCCTTTCCAAACCCTCAAATCAAGCACTTGAGAGATGCCAACAACGCAGTTCGTCGTGCGAAACTGCATCAGGATCTCAAGATTTGTTTCCAGCGGATCTCTCCTGAGAAGTGATGTGTTTG